AAATTTTATGTGTAATATTTAATAGTCTAAAAATCTTCAGGATATGAAATCTCTTTGGCAGATGGTGAGATCTGATAAAAAATCAATCTTGTTATAGAGTCTTCAAAGAGACACACCTGGTACATAGACCCAAATATTTTAGTTATATCTTTTTTTGACAAAAATGGACAAGAACGGGATGACATTGTCAAGAAATTGTACTCAACCCCATGACCTAAAACTTATGCGATAGAGAGACATCAAGTTAGTTTAAATATACTGAACTCTCTTATGTTTAATGATGATAATCCCCCAAATTTGACCCCACTTATAACTGACTAGAGTTGGTTAATTTTTCATATCTTAAACCGTGCAAATGCTGAAGTACAGTGGCTTAAGACTCCATCTGATAATGGGATCTAAATGACTATTACCTAGAATTCAAGCAATTTATGAATAATCTTAAAGTAGTAAATGACTGCAGTAAGAGGGCTATAAAACTAGTTCAGGTATCTATTTAATATATATATATATATATATGTGTGTGTGTGTGTGTGTGTGTTTTTAATGGAAAAGTTAATCCCTACCACTTGTTCTGCAAATGATGGAGTAAAAAATTACATCAAAGTATTTTTTTGAAACTCTTTAGTGCCTGTTAGATTAGACTAACATCTACAATTACAATCAAATTGGCTTGAGCAAAAACATTACAGTTGATTTTTTTTTAAAATATTAGGTAAAATGCAACAATTATAGGGAAGACTATGTTTACAAGAGAAGCAAAGGTTTTCAAGATATAATTAAAAAAAGAAACTACAAAAGGCTATGTTAATTAGAATTTGATTTGTATAAAGGGTTTGCAGCACCTTGAGAAAAAACATAAGCTAAGGGTCCTTGACAATTGTAAGGAACTATCTGTATTGTTGAAAAACTTACTTTTTAAAGAAATATATGACAATTCCAGTCACAATTTACAACAGTTTGATTATTTTATTGTTACTATTTTTTTAATGGAGTTTGAAAAAAAGAGTAAAAAAATTCTTAACTTTTTTCTATTCTGTTTATGACTTGATGTCTTAAATAATTACCAGCCAATGTTTTGAATTTTTGTAAAATAAACATTACTTTTTGTCAGAGAAGTTTATTGTTTTTGTAAGATTTTGTACACGAACAGGGTCCGTGTACTGGTTGGAACACTTTGAGCCGTAATAGCCTGAGGGAAATAAAGAAAATTAAATTAGTAAGTTTAAGTGTTAGCATCAGATTATCAAAATTGGACACATTTCCAGTGGAAAAATAAAGTTTAAGTAGATGAAGAGAGGGCACAATAAAAATCTATACTGACAAAGTTAGATAAAATTATAAAACTATATATACTAAGTTGACTAATGTGTAAGGTACATGCAGTAAATTAAACTATTGAATTATTGTATACGTATGCTCATAGAAGTTTACTATTTAGTACATAAAAGAATACTAATGCACTTATTTCTTAATGAAATAATATTTTTCATTGAGCATCCAGAAGATCTATGCGTTGCTCAACATCATTTTGTTGCTTGCAACTCACTGATGAATTTTAACATCTTGTGCAGTAAATACATATTTTTACAATCATAAAATAAGTTTTACAACCACACAACCACACAATAAATCACTTTATAAATCTATAAAGTTTTTTTTTTTCTATTAAGAATCTTGTCTACTTTATGAGAAAAGCTTAAATTTTCGTTTTAAAATATAAAACTTGTTCTACTTGAAATAGTTCAAATATTCTTATAGAAATATTTCAGATGTTATAAAAGCATAAAAAGGTTATATACTCCATTTAATATGATTTAAATAAGAATTTAACAATCAAAAAATAGTGTGTTGTAAGAGAACTTTATAATTCTTTTGATTTCCATTTAGTGTGTTAAGCAGACAGATTTATCTTCATGAAAAATGCTAGAAACAGCTGTGGGACTACACTTAACAAAATATTTTTTACACTTAAATCAATAAAATTTCCTGGAAATTAAAATATTTGGACAGCATTTTAAAAAATTTATAAATAAAATTGACTCAGATAGTATTGTATGACATTCGACATGTGATATTTTTAAACAATACACAAGCATTGCACTTAATCTACAAGTAATGAAATTCTGGGTTAAAAATACTAAGATTTTATAGCATTTCATAGCATTTTATTACCACTAATTTCCTCATAAAATCAGCATATTTTATTTAAAAAAAGGATACTTTCAATTTTGACAACTAATTGTTTTGCCAGATTATGAGTTTAGCTATGAGGACAGAATTTGCATCTGACTATGCATGACTTACAATTGGTTTTTTTAGAGGATGCTTTTAAAAACAAATCTCTAAAAATATCTTTTAAGAACTTAAAAAGATTGAACAGTTTATTTTTAGATAAACTAATTGATATTATTATTGAATTCAATGAAAATGTAAATGTCATTGAATTCAACAATAAAAACTATAATAAACATATCAATTCTATATTTTCTATAAGATTGTATATGTTTCAGCATAACTTAAATATACTTTTCAAAAACTTTAAAAGTGTTTTTAACATGCAATTAAACATTACTTCACTTAAAGAAAAATAATAAAAATAACATCTATGTATATAATATTAAGTTTCTGTTTTGAAATCTATTATTGATTTGCTTTATTGTAATTTATTTTTTTCATTATCAGTGTTGATAATTTTCCAATTATATTATTATTATTGACGGCATCATTCTTATTCTTATCAATATCATTTTTATTGATATTGTTGTTGTTATTATTACTAATATTATTGCTATCTTTATCAATAACATTACTTGATATCATTATATTCAGGTTTTTACTTTATATTAGTTTTTATTAGTTGTAATTTTACTATTTGTAAAACTTGTTTTTGTTATTGTACTTTGTATTTATTGTTTTACTATTTGTAAATATTCTTGATTGTAAGACCTTATTCAGAAATATATGATTGATTATATATATTTATATATAATCGTTTATCATACACACATAAATATATATATATATATATATATATATATATATATATATATATATATATATATATATATATATATATATATATATATATATATATATATATATATATATATATATATATATATATATATATATATATATATATATATATATATATATATATATATGTATATATATATATATATATATATATATATTTATATATATATATATATATATATTTATATATATATATATATATATATATATAAACTTGAAATATGATTTTTAATCAATATAAAGCAAAAGATAGTCAAGCCAGTAAAAAGTGCATTGCCAACGCCACATTGGAGCCCTTTGTTACGGCTTAGGGTTTATTTGTAGAAATACGGCAATTGCTAGAGCTATAAAACAGTGTACTGAATACTATCTATGTTTCGAGTCAAGTTCTTTAACAAATTTAAAAATGAATAAAGTAACAAAAACTATAAAACACAAAACACCACAGTCATCACCAAGTTCGCTAAACCTATCATTCACCAATATTCGTGGTCTTCGAAGTAACTTTTCTTCTGTTGAGTTTTATCTCTTGCAAAGTTCATCAGACCTACTTGATCTTTGTGAGACTAATTTGAGTTCAGCTGTCTCATCTTGTGATCTTAGTGTTGATGGTTATCTTCCTTTAATTTGTAAAGAATCCAATAAGTCACATGCTTGGCCTGGGCATTTACATTCGTTAGAATTCACCCATTTGTCGGGAAACTAGGTTTGAATCCACAGACTAATCTTTTATGTGCTTTCGTTTTGCACCACTTCACCCTATCACCTTTCTCTTTGTTCTATATTGCTCTCCCTCATCTCAAGACTGCACTCTTCTTGATGTTATTTCTTATTATATTGACCAAGCCCTCATTATTTATCCATCAGCCAATATTGTTGTTGTCGGTGACTTTAATGTTCATCACACTGAATGGCTTGGCTCTAGTGTCAGTGACTCTGCAGGCATTAAGGCCCACAACTTTTGTCTTTCTCAATCCCTAACTCAAATAGTCAACTTTCCAACTCGCTTTTCAGACAACCCGAATCATTTACCTTCTCTACTTGACTTATGTCTTGTTTCTGATCCTATTCAGTGCACAGTTTCTTCACATTCACCCTTAGGTGCTTCTGACCATGGTTTGGTCTCTCTAAAACTATTATCTCATTCTTCTTAATCATCAGAATCCCCCTATCATTGTACATCTTACAACTACCTTAAAGCTGACTGGGACTCTTTCCGTGATTTTCTTCGTGATAGCCCCTGGGTAGAAATCTTTCGTCTTCCTGTTGACAAATGTGCTTCTTATATAACTTCGTGGACTCTAGCTGGCATGGAATCCTTTATTCCCTCTCGACAATTCCAGGCCTCACTCTTCTCCATGGTCTCGACAATTCCAAGCCTCACTCTTCTCCATGGTTTTACTCACATTATGCTGCTGCAATTGCCAATCGAAACCATTACTTCCATATCTATCAGCAAAACAATTCTCCAGAAAACAGACGTCTGTTTATTAATGCTAGGAAACATTGTAAAGAAGTTTTGTCTAACGACAAAGCCCGCTATTCTCAGATCATGAAATCTCTCAGGCTCTCGTGACTTCTGGAGAATCTTTAATAGTATCAATAATAAGGGCAAGTCTGTAATTCCACCTCTTTTGTATGGTTCAGACTCACCTAACCTAAAGACAAAGCTGAATTGTTTGCCAAGAACTTTTCATCAATATCATCTCTTGATGCCACTAGTTGCGTTCTACCTGATATAGCCATCAAACAGGTTAATCCATTGCTCGACATTCGTATCACTCCAGCTTCTGTATCTTAAGTAATTTCCCGCTTAGACTCTTCTACAGCTTGCGGCCTGGACAACATACCTGTTATAGTTTTGCAGAAGTGTTCTTCGGAGCTGTCGTCTATCCTTTCAAAACTATTTAACAAGTGCTTATCATAGTCTTGTTTTCAGCCTGCTGGAAAGCAGCATCTGTTATCCCTATTTTTAAAAATTCTGGAGAGCGATCTGATTCGTCTAACTACCGTCCCATTAGTCTTCTTCCTATCATAAGCAAGGTTTTTGAATCTTTAATTAACAAATACTCAATCTCTCATCTCAAATCTCATAACATACTTTCTGATCATCAATATGGATTTCAATCTTCTTGTCCTACGGCTGATTTGCTATCAGTAAAAACTGATAGGTTTTATCGCGCATTAGATAAAGGTGGAGAGGTTAGTGCCATCACTCTTGACATTTCTAAAGCGTTTGATAAAGTTTGACATGCTGGTCTTCTCCATAAGCTTTCTTCTTACGGTGTATCTGGAAACATCTTTAAGGTTATTGAATCCTTCCTTTCCAATTGTAGTATAAAAGTTGTCGTTGATGGACAGCACTCTTTTTATTATTCTGTAACCTAAGGGGTCCCCCAAGGTTCAATCCTTGGCCCTATACTCTTTTAATTTACATTAACGATTTTCCAGATATACTACCATTTATTCTTGTCACGATAAGAAGCCAACTTCCTCTGATTGCTTGAAGGGGGCATCTGAGCTTGAAAAAGATCTCACTTCTGCTACAGCATGGGGCTCACAGTGGCTGGTGAACTTTAATTCAGATAAAACTCAATTTTTTTCGGCCAATCGTTATCGCAATAGTTTAGACCTTCCTATATTTATGAACGGTAATGTACTCGATGAGAAAACTTTTATTCCTCTAGTTTTTTTCCTCGAACATCAGTTCTTTGGAATTCGCTTCCTTCATCTTGCTTTCCTGACTCATATAATTTGCAATCTTTTAAGTCGTCTTTCAATCGTTATCTGGCTCTACAATCTCCATCTTTTCTCTTTTAGTAACTTCCAACTCTAGTTAGTGGTTGCTTGCAGCATTGTTGGAAGCGAAGATAAATGAAATAAAAAAAAAAGGTTAGAATTGATAAAAAAATATAACAACTAATCTTTGGTTTTAAAACTAACAGTTTTAAAAACACAAATAATAAAGAAATTCAACAAATACTTTTTGTCTTTAAATTGTATATTTTTAAAAGAATAAATAAAGTATACTAAATTGATAATCAAAAGTATTTATTTTAATTAGTGGTCATGTAAGAAAATTATGGTTTTTAAGTTCAATGGTTACAAATTATAGAAACTGCAATAATATAATTATGAACAAAAACCTGTATCCATGTAAAAGTAAAATTGCCAATTTTATTTTCCACTGCTGGATCTGCTGGAGGAATACGCTGATAATACATTGTGTTTACCATCATGGAAGTCAGTATTAAAGATATTGCAACAGATAACCTTTGGCATCTAGTAAAGCTACTTCTAGGTGAACGAAAAAAAATTGAAAACCATAAATGTTCATTAGACAGTTTCAGTTGTACTTTGTTTTTAAAAACCAAAATATAACTTGATGTTTCTTTGAATGATGCTACTGGTAAAACGCAACTAAGTTTACACAAGCCACGATCCACAGCAACCCAGCAATGACCAAGGAAAACAAACTTTTTTTCAGTTTGAAGGTCAATGATTATAATATTTCTAAATAATATATATAAATAATAAATCTATTTCTCAATAATAAAGCTAGTTCAAACATAGTTAATTAGCAAAATGAAAAGTCTAAAAATTAAGTATTTTTAACATAATGTATTAAATATGTATCATAAAAAAGTTAGCAAAAGATGCTTGTGTAACAGATAGAACCCTTGGAATTAAGAAAAATGAGGTGGGCAATAATTTGCTGACCTCAAACACTTTTAGGTCAGCATTTAGGTTGGCATTGTCTAATGCCAACCCTTTTTTCAAGAGTTGTAGATGGCTGTGGGCAAAACGTTGTACTTTATTCAAACATTCATAATAAAAATGTTCTAGCTATAGCTTTTACCAAAAAAGTAAAGAAGAAAAAAAAAAATATATTGGTAATATAATAAATATATTAAAGTAATAAATTGGCAATAAGTTTTTAATTATATAAATATTTTATCAAATATATAAATATTTAAACTCAATTTTTAAATTTATCATGTTTTTATTGCTAAAGTGTTTGTTATTATTAAATTTTTGCAAAGTATTTTTTATAATGTATTCAAATTTGCAATGATATTTTTAGAAAGGTTAAGAAAACTAAAGACAAAATGCGAATATTGTGCAAGATTTTAAAACTCTTAAGGTTTTAACAATTGCGATTACCCTTTTTCTAAGTAAGGAAAAAAAAATTATTTTGTATTAGAGATAAAAAAAATTCTAAAGTCAGAGTGGCCTTTCTGGATTAACCAAAACAGGTCAAGAATGACAAAAAAAGAAATATTAAAAAAAATATAGAAAATAAAAAGATATGAAAAATAATATTATGTCAAATAAAAAACAACAAAAAACAAGAATGCTTTGCCTGTGCACCAATATTCATGCAGTGAGGATGAAAAGTTTTTTAAAAAAAAAGTTATTTTATAGGTAATGAAATAAAAAAATAAGTTCTTTATTTTCATAAAGAATTTAATTCTTTGTTTTCAATCCAGAAAGTGTAGTAAAAAAAGAGTCTAATCAGAACAGAAGTATATACCCAGAGCTGTGAAGCAAAAAAAAAGTACAGTTTTAGCAACATAGATCATTGATCGTCCAGACCATATTTTAAAAATCTGGAAAATTGTTTAAGTAAAATATCCAAAAAATTCTTCAATATATTATCCACTTAATTTTGCTTTTAGCTGAGTTGTTTCTATATTTTTTTCAAATTTTTCTTCATTTTTGTATGAGTGATAAGTGAAAAAGCTTAAAAAAACTAATATATTACAAAAATATATATCTAAACTTGTATGTAAGGAAAACGTTTTGGATATCCGGAAAAAATATAAGTTTATAAAAAAATCTGGAATTCCAGAAATATCCGGAAAAAGATCATCCCTGATTGATAATAATAATAATAACCAATAGATAGCTCTAAGATCTTATGAAAAAACTCGATGAAAAAACACCCATTGAAAATAATAAGAATATAAAAATTTATTGGTTTTAATAGAGAAATAGAAAAAACGTTGGACATGGATGAATGTAGTAAAATAGTAAAATTACTATAGATAATCATGTTTTGATTTATTTTCTTCTTAATTCTTATATAAATAATTTTTCCACAAAAATAATACAACTAAAACTTATAAAAGTATAATAGTATTCAATAAAGATAATAGAAATAAAGATAATAAAACTTGAACTTAATGTCATTATAAAAATACACAAAAGTTCACAGTGTTTTGTAGGACAATGCTGCCAATATGGTAGCTAGTGTTAGAGACAGTAGTTATAAGCCAAAGCCATATTTTACACACATAACACAGCTATGTATTCACGACTCAGTTTTGTCACAAAAACAGTGAAAGATATTTTAGCTTGTTGCAGACATCTTGCCACTCATTGATTCAAAATTTTCCATTCACCAAGAGCAGCAGCAAAATTAAAAGCGATTCAGGAACGAGTTGGAACAAATAAGCATAGGTTAGTTTAAGATGTTACTACAAGATGGAATAGTTGCTACAACATGATTTAAAGAATGCTTGATCAGAGAGTTCCTTTACAACTGACCATGCTACATAATCAACATTAAGTTCATTCCAATGGGGTTTATTAGATAGAATTTTTCATATTTTAGAGCAATTCAAAATTTTAACTGTAAATTTCCGTAACCATGAAGCATTAGGGTGTCCTGTTTCCACATTTTTTTTTTAAATTTTAAGTTACACATTTTATGTGAGGTGCATAATGATTAAAAAATAATTATTAATTTTGGGACAATCGAAAATTATTTAGTTTGATTAAATTGTAGTTTTCGCAGTTACCTAAATTGAGTAAATTGTAGTTTTCATGCACATTTTTCAACATTTTTAAAAATTTCACTGTCATTTTTTCAAAATTCATTCAAGAACTTTTAGTATGTTATTTTTCAATAAGTCAGTATTTTAGGTAAAAAAAACTGGGCTGAAAGAAAAACATTTAAGGGTTGCACAAGGGAGAAAAAACATGTTACTAATGCACAAAATTGCCTAAAACAATGGTTATTTAATATGTTATTTAAGTTCTCCTTTTTTCCAATGAGAGACACCTGTTTGTGATTCTCAACAATATGAAGTACGTATTGTTTTGTTAAAAACATTGACTTTGTTTTTAAAATCACAGATAAGCTTTACTACTCGTTCAGCTTGACTCCTCATTCACTTCTAGTAGCAACCAATCCACCTGATTAGGTTTCATTTTGAGTAAAGCAAACAGTAGCCAGAAATCTAGTTTCATCAGCAACACAAAATCAAGAATTTTATTTATTTCAGTTTGTGGAAACATTGATTTTCCAAGCTTGATTTTTTTATTTCTTTTGATGTTAAACAATTTCAAAGCTGCAGCAGAATGTTTGATTGCAGATTATCAAACTATTATCAAAATAGATTCATCAAACAAGATGAATACAACTAAATGTTGAGTTAAATACTAAAGACGCCTGTAACGCAACTGAAAGGGCGAGTTCGACATTCAGCTGCTGGAATGTCGAACTCGCGATACCACTGCATGTCAGTTATGTACTGTCGGTCAACATTTGGTGCAATAATGGAAATTAGACTTATTAAAAAAGCTTTTGCTTGGAACGGTGCAATAAAATCCGCCATTCTCTTAAGCTTATAGCATTGGTCCTTGTTGAGCCAGTTAGTTTGTATGTCCAACATAACATACTCAAAGATGTATAGTCTTTTGTTCATGAGTCTTGCACCATGATAAACACCAGGTTTCTTGAACAGAAAAATCTTTTTGTCTTGTAATTCTCTGCAAGATAAAAAAGTACCATTTCAATAAGTTTCCAATAATCTTTTCTTGGAAAGGCATTTTTTTGTGGACAATTGCTGGCCCATTTCAAGACAATTTTTGCTTGACAATTGTATGGGTTATCTTCATCTGCAGGAAATTCAAACTGAATAATATTTTTTTTCATGGATAATTGAGTCCCAGAAAATTTAGCCTTCTATGTTTTCCAATAAAAATTTCCCAGATGTGTTTAAGGTGTAACTCATAAACGTGGTGCCGACAAGCAGCCCATAAAATTGTACGACCAATATCCTTCTCAATTAAAGCCGCACATCCTGCTTTACAGACGGTGTTACTAGTTGCAGTGTTAAAGCAAAAAGTAATTAAATCATCAAGTAGCTTCCATGATTTAAAAAGGTTGATAAATTGATCTTTTTGGGCCACACTAGTAGCATTTGGGATTGTAGGAATCTTGAGAAGTTTGGGATTTGAATCTTTAGCCTAACCATCCCATCCACTAGCAAGGATGGCTATCTTGCAAGTGGATATTATCTTTAGATTATTATCTTACATAATAAAGCAATGTCTGAATAGTTTTACTGTTAAGCGATGAAACAAGTTTGCTATCCCAGTGACCGCATGGATGAAGTAGACAGTTATTCTAAATTGCACGCTTGCTTAAAAATCAATAAACTCTGGTAAAAATTAGCAGTTAATAACACAACATTGCCATAATAGAGTACATATAGAGTAATAAATTAATGGTATTTTGATATGCCAGGATATGTACAGAAACATTTATAGGAATTTCCCATAGAATTTCGCTGGGGAATTTTATGGAAATTTAATAGCAACTAAATTAGATTTAAATAATTAAATTTTTAAATAGATTTTTAAATAAATTTTTATGAAAATGTTGAATTTTAAAAGGTAAAATGACCTGTCACCCCTAAATATTTTTATTTTCAGTCTAGTTTTTTTACCTGTAATACTTTAATGAAAAATAACATACTAAATGTTCTTGAATGATTTTGAAAAACTGACAGTGAAATCTTGAAAAATAGGCAAATTTTTTAATCAAGCATAAGTGTGTGAGGCTTTTTTAAGTATAATTACTTTAGTTATAAACAAATAAATTTTGTCAGTAGACAAAAGACTGGGTACATTTTTGCATAACAAGTATTAATATCTTTCCACTTTTTATGACCCTAAATATAAATTAACAAATCATAAGAAAGATGAAAATTAAAAAAAAAATTGGATAAATGAGCAAATATGATATTTACAACAACATAATTTAAAACTCTGATTGTTATTGTAATGATCCCATAGAAAGTAACATAAATGAAGTAATTTTAAAACCAGCTATCCAAAATTTAAAGAAAGTTTTCTGCTATGTCCCAAACTGAAAACTAAAAATGATACCAATTTTGCAAATAATGAAAATAGCAAAGGAATAAAAAGATCAAACTCCAATAAAAACTTGGTAAACAAGGAAATTAAAGAGTACTTAAAACTATTGTTATGGAAAAAGATAGGAAAACTCTTTAAAAAATTTAAAGAAAATAGTCCAAAAGTTTCTTTCAGCACCAACTTCTTCTGTAGAAAGTGAAAGGATTTTCATTACAGGTGGCAACACTTATGAACCTAATAGAAATAGACTATTGCCAGAGAGTGGTGAAAAATTAATGTTTATACATTATAACTTAAGATGTTTTTGATATTTTTTTCTTTACTAAACAATCATTTGATTATTTGATAGACTAAAAATATTGATTTATTTAATGTTTGTTCTACTATATAGTAAGATTATATAGTAATAACAAAAAGAGCATTGCTATGAAACTCAATAATAAGTTATCATAGAGTTCTGTTTAAAGATATTATATATTGTAAACATAAATGGAAAAATTGTAGATATATTTTTTTTTTTTACTACAGCAACTATGTACATCTCTTTAAACAGACTCGAGTTGTAAAAAAATATGTTTTTTATTTAAATTTCTATTTGACATTTTAAATTAAAAAAATGGTGATATATTTAAAATTTAACTCATTATTAATCTTTTCTTTTTTAATGTTAATAAACACTAATAATCATTATTCATTTTTAGACACTATTTTGTCTAACTCTAGGATAAATTTAAGGAAAGTTAGTTTGATTAACAGAATATAAGACTGCCCGAATGATGTGTTGTTGTAGAAGGCTGTATATGTTCTTTTTTATTAACTCTTTATTTAATTTTATTTATGGACCTTGTGCCTAGAAATTTGAAGTCTAATCTAAGAAAACATCTTAAATAGACTTCAAAATTAACTCATTTGTTCAAAATTAACTCATATGTACATGATGTTTGAATTAAATACATTAAATAAATTTTATACTGAAATTTAACTTATTTTACCGTAGCTATCAGATATGAAACAAATGAGTTAATTTTGAAGTCTATTTAAGAAAACGTATGATGTTTTCTTAGATTAGACTTCAAATTTCTAGTCAAATCTTCAAAAATCTAATCCAATTTTTTTTTGAGGACCTTAAGAATTACTAAGAGCATCATTCTAAACCTTTGAAATGTTGAATGATATTGAATAGGCAATTGTACTTGAATTAAATCCCTGTTCAATTTCTTATGCAACAGTTTTCTTGCTATTTTACCTGATTTTGTTGTATCCAGTTGTCCCTTTTTTAGTTGTATCAGGGTAGTCCCATTTCATACCTGTTTTTATAATATTTCTGTTTGGAAAAAAGTCTTTTCTTGTTTTAAAGTTCTATTTGAAACACTGGTAAAAGACTAATCAAAAACAACAGCTTTCAGGCAAACAGTCCTCATTATATGATAAAATGTACATAGTAAAACATAAAGAGTAGCCTCAAAGTGTATGCCAACATAACCCACTCTTTTAAGTTTGATTTTTTCTAGGCGTTGAAATTTTTATCAGCTATTCTGAAGTAATATTTTTAGTGAAAATGTCAATCCATCTGAATCTAATAATTTAAAATTTTTTTGTATACAATCAGTTTTATTTGCAGATACTTTTGATTTGTTTATTTTCCTTAGCAATATTATTTTTAAATAAGCCAAACACAGTGAGCTTCATTATTATTAAACTAAAGATACTTTGTTAAATCATTTTTTTACAAATTTTTAAGCAAAACCATTTAAAAAAACTTATAACAATAAAAACTCAAAAATATAAACAAGTTTATGAGATAGGTAAATATATTATATATGTATACTGTATACACCCTAGGACCCTAAGTCTAAACTCTTTTAATTTTAAAACAAATATAATTGCCGGAATATTTTTTTATCAATGGTTGAAATATACGATAAAAAATTAAAATTCCATAGAAAAGATAACAAAGAAGGACAGGTGTTGGTTAAATATTGTTCCTAATACTTTTTTTAATTTGTTGACACCCTTTTACTAAACACATCTTCACTTTTTTTTTTTTTTTTAACATCTTTGTTTCTAACAAGACTGAAATCAATCACTACTAGAGTTAGAGATTACTGGAAAAAGATGAAGTTTGTGGAGCAAGATAGCGATTGGCAGAAGAATTAAAAGAATATATGAATCAGGAAAGTAAGATGAAGGAAGCGAATTCCAAAGAACTGATGTTCGAGGAAAAAAACTAGAAAAATAAGAGTTTTTGGAGCAATTAGAAACAGAAGAACTGCAGGACCAAAGTAATCTACAGGAGAAATATTAAAATTTTGATCCAAAATTTTTTTCTACTTTGATTTTGAAAATTAAAATTATAAAAAACTAAAGAAAAAAAATTTACTCTAACCAATATAAAATAATATTTACTTTACATAAGAAATAATTAGTTTATAAGTTTTAAGTTAACAGTGATAATTTAAGTTAGAGTTAACAAATTTAATATTAAATCTTAAAATTTTAAATAAAAATTTTACATAAATTATTAGTTTTTAATTTTAAGTTAAAACTATAGCGACTGCAATTACAAAGATAAATAAAGTAATTAAAAAATATAAATATGCATGTAAACTTTAATTACAGAAAATAATACTTACTTTACATACCATCCTCCACCACTATTATCATGCCATAAATGAATAAAATCTAAATCACCAAGAGTACTTTGAGTAGCCATAATGAACATGTCACAGCTTGATCTTTGGAAACATTCTCTTTCTGGATCTTTTAAATGTCTCACTCCACTATCATTTAAATCACCTGTTTGAATTATTTTTATATAATATTTCAAAATGTTGACTTTTTTTAAAAGTAAAACAAATAAAATAAATAGAATAAGATTGATTTGTAAAAAATTGTTTTTTTAAACATTCAAGTCATAGGTCAATTAGGCATTTATAAATATGGCATATTAAAATATATAATATAAATAAACAACATTTTTTATATTTTAATAATTTCTTTTATTTATTCTACACATTAGCATTATTAAATAATAAGTTATATGCTTCTTTTATTTCTTGTTAGCTTCATATATTGTATAATTTCTTAAACTTAAGGCTCTATTATATATGCATTTTCGAAATTTAACGTATATCAGAATGGATACATAAAAATATGTTCAGCAATCAATGCAATCAATCAGCAATCAACCATTTTTTAAAGCAGAACAAACTGGTGAAAATCCAAACAACAAAATTAACATAAAAAAAAACACAATAAAAACAACAAACAAAGAACATGTTTTCAGCACAAGAATTAATATATTTTTGATATTAAAAAAACATTTAACACTATTTGTGTTCTTTGTATTTGTGTAACAATATTATTGCCTATCAGGATCTAAAAATATTTAACCATTAAACTCAATTTTAATGAAACAAAAATACTTATAGCCATCCTACCTGCAACATTTAAAAAAATGTTTGATTTGGTGCCAGCATTTTTCCGAGTACCTGTATTTACAATGATTTGATACAAGTAAGTATCTTCATCCCGATTATCAGCAAGTGGACAAACACCAATCTGATGATACAGACAACAAAGTTAAAAATTAAAAAAATTAAAATAAAATAAAAAAAAAACCTAAAAAAAAATTGAGTTTTTGAAAAGTTATCAAGTTAATTATGGAATTTTGAAATTTATTATTATTTTAATTTGAAAAGTTATCAAGTTAATTATGGAGTTTCTAAGTTAATAAGGTAAAAGGAAAAGAAATTCCTCAAAACGCTCCTAATGTATTTGAATTATTAGCCAAGATTTTAGTGCCACCTGTTAAATCACCAAAAAAAGCTGAAAGCTATGTACAATCAGTTGAAGAAGAATCTTTAAAATTTTGAAAGGCCTAAAAAAAAGAGTTAATTGCATTTTCACCTAATTATTAAAAAGTCCTACTCATAAATTCCATTTTAAGTCAAAAGTTTGTAAAGCATAATGGTATTTCTTAAACAAGTTAAATGCATGAGTAACATGAACTAGTATTATATATAAATAATAAATTAATATATAAATAATATAATATTCTTGAGCAAAAATATTGAGTTTTTTTTTTCAACATTTTTGCTTCCAACAAGGCTGCATGCAACCACTATTAGAGCAAGTAACTGGAAGAGAAAAGATGAAGATTGTAAGATAACGATTGGCAGACGACTTAAAAGACGGCAAATTATATGAATTAGAAAAACATAATGAAGGAAGAGAATTCAAAAGACGATGTTCAAGGTAAAAAACTAGTGCTATAAGAGTTTTTGGAACTCTTAGGAACTCTTAGAACAGAAAAAGGATGAGACTTATCTGAATGATGAGTAACACGAGAATGAATTTAAATAGATGGCACAAGAGGCGCTAACTCTTTAGAGCAGTGCCCATTATTGTATTTGTAGAAAAGAGAAAGAGAAACAACATTACGATAATGTGATAATGGTTGGAAGTTGGCTGCAAGAGCAGGTCAAACTATGTTTACAATGTGATTTTGCACCTTGCCTAAAAGAGAAAAAGGGATCATTGAAAGTTCCGCTCCAGATATGGCAAAAGTAATCCGTACATGGACAAATTTAAGAATTATAGAGATAAAGAAAAGAATCTAGAGTAATAAAGTGGCAAGCACAATAAAAAGATGCAACCTTAGCAGATGCAAATTTTGCAATCAATTTCATATGTGGCTTCCAAGAAGCATCAGAAGTAAGAGTTAATCCTAAAAGCGGATGGTAGATGATTCATTGAGTACATTACCGTTCATAAATATTAGAAAATCTAAATTACTGCAATAATGAATAACTGAAAAATTGAGTTTTATCTAAATTAAAGTTCAACAGCCACTGAGAGCCCTATGCTGTAGCAGAAGTGAGATCCTTTTCAAGCTCACAGCTCTAAAGAACACTTCTGCAAGACTATAACAGGTATGTTGTCTGGACCACAAGTTGTAGAAGAGTTTAAGCATGAAATCACTATAGAGACAGAAGCTGGAGTAATATGAATGTCAAACAATGATTCAACTGTTTGACAGCTATATCAGGTAGAACACAACTAGTGAAATCAAGAGATGATATTGATGAAAAAATCTTAGCAAACAACTCAGCTTTGCCTTTAGGTGAGGTTACAAAGTCTGAACCATATAATAGAGGTGGAATAACAGATTTGCCTTTATTATTGATACTGTTAAAGATTCTCCAGAAGTCACAAGAGTATAATTTTTGAGATTAGAAAAAACCTTTTTACAATAGTTTCTAGCAGTAATAAACATACGTCTGTTTCTGGAGAATTGTTTTGCTGATAAATATGGAAGTAACGATTTCGATTGGATATTACAGCAGCACAATGTGAGTAAAACCATTGCGAAAAGTTAGGCTTAACCTGAAATCATCAAGTGGGAAAAAAAGATTCCATACGGAACTGAATCCACAAAGCTATGTAAGAAGCATAAATGTAAGCAGGAAGAATTTCATCACTTAGAAATTTACTGAAAGAGTCCCAGTCAGCTTTAAGGTAGTTAAAGTAGTAAGAGGTACGATGATTCTGATGATGAAGAAGAATGTGGAGAAAAAGAGCATTGACTAGGAAACAAACAAGACATAAGTTTAAACAACAACAAATAAACAAGACATAAGTCAAGTAAAGAAGGTAAATGATTAGAGTTGTCTAAAAAGCCAGTTGGAAAGTTGACTATTTGAGTTAGGGATTGTGAATAAAAAATATTATGAGTTTTAATGCCTGCAGAGTAACTTTGATGAAACTGTGTAAGTTGGTTTATATCAATGAGAAAAGCAATTCCTAAAAGTTTCAGCTTACTATCTTTTGTGGTTCATGAGATATTGCCATTTGAAATTTCTGATTTTTCCAAAAATTAAAACTCCCTTAGCAAAAACATTTTTTGTTCATACTTTGAAGCTATGTATTTTAAAAGCAAAATTTCAGAAAGCCTTCTAGTTTTTTTTATTATATACGACTGTAGGCTTACTTTGTTAAAACCTTGACATTGAATTTTTTAATGTCACATTTTATCCATAATGGCTGCCTAAAAAACCTAAAAAATTGTTTGCAGATATAAAAAGTTGATTTTTGATGGGCCAATATACAAAATTAGCAACTTAAGAAGTGAAAAGACTTATGTTTTTAGTTTCTATATATGGTAGGCTTCCTAATTTAAAAAGAAATGCTAATAAGAAATAATTCAGTAAGAAAAAATTGACTGCTAAAAATGGCTCCAGGAAAAACTTTAAAAACTGTGCCTTCTCTTTAAACCACTGGTAACCTAGGATCAACACTGATTTTCATAATAAACTTTTTTTTACTGATTTAACTGATTTTTTTACTGATTTTTTCACTGATTTAACTGATTTAACAGACTTTAATTAAATGAATTCAGAAAAAAATAGTGGGTACTCATGGGGAAGTGACAAAGTCTGAGCAATGAAGTTGGCACAAAATGCAATAAAAAAGAGAAAAATATTGATGTACATTAGTATTCATTATCTACTGCAATGCAAAATATATATATATATAAAAGTATATCATAATCATTACTAGAAATAAGCTATAAACTAAGACTGAATTAAACTCAGTTTTTAAATAACCTTAGTTGCCTTCCCTCTCCCTCTGTCCATTTACTTTTTAAAATGCATATTTTTGCACAGAACTCATCTTAAAAGAAATTTGTTATTGAAGATTTTACTGATTTTTTTCAAATACATGAAATGTCTTTATGCGCAAATTAAGAACTAAACATACACAACTAAAAGATGTGAAATGATAAGCAAGTTATTGGATGTACTTTTTATCTTTATTTATATATAAAATTTATCATTTTGTATTTAAATATTATGTCAAAACTCATGGAAACTTTATTTTATACAATGGAACTAAATAAATTTTTTTAGATAATAATTAAAATTAAATGGCTAGTACATCTTTAGTTTTAACTCAATGTTGCTTTGGAAAAACATTAAATAAAGATTTTCATGAAGAAAAATTTACCAAGTTCAAGAAAACTAAATGTTTTGATGAATTGACAAAAAAAGATCAAGAACTTGTGCACTTATGATGTAAAGTTAATCATATAAAAACTATTTGTTATCACCATGATATGATCTTCTTGAATAGATTATTACATATGATGAAAACTTTTGTTATGATCCATTTAACAAACACAAAATTAAAATAAAAAAGTAATTAAAAATAAATTGACTTTTTAAAGATAAAGGCTTATTTAATGTTTTATCATTTTGTTTCTTTTTGGAATCTTTCGGAGTAATCAGTGTTGCTGTTGCAAAGGAATTTGATTTAGTACCTGGTCATAAGCTTTGTACAGAATGTCGTAAAACATTGTATTTAAAAAATAACAAAAAAGGATTATGAAAAAAACTAATGTAAAAATAAAGACAATGATTTTAATGAGATTAATATTTCAAATGAAAACTTTAATTTAAGCATTAATAGCCTTGGTTGTTTACCTCTAAAAATAGTAGCTCATAAAGACAGGGTCAGTTATGCAAATTTAAAAAGATGATCAAGATCCATACTACCACCAAAAAGAAAACAGCAACTGTTTTAGAAGTTTCTTTTGATTTAATAAATAAAGAACTAAAAACAAAAGAGATATGTTGTGACAGTAAACGAGACTTGGAGTCACTAATGGAATTAATTAAAGCAAAGTTTGATATTTCTTCAAAATCAGAAAACCATAAATTACTAACTTTGGTTCCTGAGAGTTGGAAAATTGACTATACACAAAATTTTTTTTTTCTTCCCAAAGAATGATAAAAACTGCTAAATATTTGAAACAAATGCATGGCATAATGGCAGAACCGTCTAAAAAAGCAGGAAGACCTTTAGTGAGAAAGTAAAAAATCAAGTTCATAGACCAAAGTGGTGTATTTCTGTTGAGGTGCTTCAGGTCTCCACTCTGTATGGGTTTGTGAGTACCACCAGAATGTCAAACATTTATCATTAAAAGTAACAGATGTTTTAGACTATAAAAATCTTTTGACATTAGTTGTATTTAACTTAAAAAATTGGGAGTGCATGCTGCACAGTTCTGATAATTGCCCAGATACTGACACACTTAAAGAGTATCTTACTACTATATTTGATAAACATAGCATTGAAGAAATCACATTTAATCAGTGTCAAAATACTAACAAAAAAAAATAATATAGTCCCAGTCACTCTTCAAGTGGATGATTTTATTGAAAAAGCTTGTCAACAAATAGACCAATTAGAGACCTTCAATATAGCCAAAAATCAAGCAACATTTGCAGCATCTAAAAATTACATTATTAAGTAATGATAATTTAATATTACTAAACTTTGCTGAAAATTTAAGTTTTTTAATTCAAGATTCAGTATAAGGTTTCCATTGGAACAACAGCCAAGCAACATTGCATCTTTTGTTATTTACTTTATTGAAGAAAATAAGATAAAAAGTAAAAGTATACAAACTCAGTTCATTGTTTCAAATATAAAGTATTTAAACATTTAAAAGAGTTGATACCCTACTACAACCATTGCATTTATTTCAGTGATGGTGCAAGTTAACAATACAAAAATTATAAAAACATATCTAACCTATTTCACCATGAACATATTCATGAGGTATCTGCAGAATGACATTTTTCGGGGGCACTGTCAAAAGAATTGTAGCAAGGGCTAGTTTACAATCACTAACTAATCCTATCAATTCATCTGAAAAAATGTATGATTAGTGTAGACAAAGTATTAAAGGAATACATTTTAATATTCAAATGATACAGTTTCATTACATTGCATAAATTTTAAATTAGAAAAAAGACGTTCTTCTAATTTAAATGCTACTTGTTCAACAATTCCAAGAACAAGAAACCACCATTGTTTTTTACTAAAATCATTAATGACTTTACAAAAATGATAGGTGCCATTCGACAATGTGTTTACAAATGTAATATTTCAACAATGCATCAGAACTATAAAATTCCACTTGCCTCTCTTTCACCAGAAATTTATATAGCATGTATTTATGATGAAAAATGGTTTTTAGGTAGTGTTGTGGAAGAAAATCAAGATATCCTTATAAAGTTCATTTCCTCAAACACTTTTAGTTGGCCACATAGAGAAGATATTTGCTGGGTTCCAATTAGACATGTTCTATGCAAAATTTTATTTTTAAAAATTTAATCAGCAACGGGTAGATGCTATGAACTATTAGCTCATGAAAAATCTGAAATACTACATTTATACAATAGTATATATAATAACAAAATTATAGATATAAAACATAGCAAAATTGTTACTAATTTGATCAATCCAAGTTTTTTATTAAAGCAAAATTGAGTGATACAATTTTTATGTTGATATTTTACTAAATAATAATATTTTTATTACATAATATATATTACATAATAAACTTGTGTATTGTGATGACAAATCAAATAACTCTTATCACTTGGTATAATCTGTAACCTAAATCAAAATGATGATAATCAAATAAATTGGGAAGGGCAAAATAGTAAATTTATACATACATGCAAAATTATACAAAATATATAGTCAGAATATAAAATAGTAAGAAAATAAGTGATATGAAAACAAATATGTGTTGGGCAGATAGTAAGAATAACATAAGGTCTTTATTTTCATTATTTATCTATTGTGCTACTTTTATATGACACACTGCTTAATGTAAAATGTTCAATAACTAATTAATAAAATTAATTAAGAAAAAAGTTCTTCCTATGATAAGAATGTTCTGTGCAAAATTATGCATGTTAAAAAGTATATGGACAGGGGGAGGGGAGGCAACTAAGGTTACTTAAAAACTGAGTTTAATTTAGTCTTAGTTTATAGCTTATTTCTAGTAATGATTATGATATACTTTTATATATATATTTTTTGCATTGCAGTAGATAATGAATACTAATGTACATCAATATTTTTCTCTTTTTTATTGCATTTTGTGCCAACTTTATTGCTCAGACTTTGTCACTTCCCCATGAGTACCCACTATTTTTTTCTGAATTCATTTAATTAAAGTCTGTTAAATCAGGTAAATCAGTAAAAAAATCAGTAAAAAATCAGTAAAAAAATCAGTTAAATCAGTAAAAAAAAGTTTATTATGAAAATCAGTGTTGATCCTAGGTTACCAGTGGTTTAAAGAGAAGGCTCAATTTTTAATGTTTTCCCCGGAGTCATTTTTAGAAGTCCATTATTTCTTACTGAATTATATCTTATCAGTAATTTTTTAAAAATTAGGAAGCCTACCATATATAGAAACTAAAAAGATATGTCTTTTCACTTCTTAAGTTGCTAATTTTGTATATTGGCCCATCAAAAATCAATTTTTTATATCTGCAAACAATTTTTTAGGGTTTTTAGGCAGCCATTATGGATAAAATGTGACATTAAAAAATTCAATGTCAAGGTTTTAACAAAGTAAGCCTACAGTTGTATATAATAAAAAAAGCTAGAAGGTTTTCTGAAATTTTGTTTTTAAAATACAGAGCTTCAAAGTATGAACAAAACATGTTTTTGCTAAGGGAGTTTTAATTTTTGGAAAAATCAGAAATTTCAAATGGCAATATCTCATGAACCACAAAAGATAGTAAGCTGAAACTTTTAGGAATTGCTTTTCTCATTGATATAAACCAGCTTACCAAGTTTCATTAAAAACTAAGGAGGAAGGGGGGCCAGGTTGGACCATGGTCACTTGGCATGGAATGACCCAACTGTATTATTAAAACATCAAGTTACTTAGTAACTAGTAATTTATTGCTTTGAATTAAAATTGATTTTTATAACTAAAAGTTTTTAAACTAATTGCTTTATAAGTAATGGTTAACTTTATTCAATTAAAAAATATTGAAATTTAAAAATCAAAATTTATGATAGTTTCATGTTAAATTTATTTACTAAACTTTAGTATTAAAAAACAAACAAGCAAAAAAACAAGAAAAAAAGTATTTTCAATGAAACATTTTAATCGAAGTAATACAATTTGTGTTGGATTAACATAGCTCTGACAAAATGTACTTTAAAACAATAAAACCATGTTGTTTTTTTAAATCACAATTTAAATTTTGTAATTTAATTTGAATTAATTATGGTTTCTCTCTGTTTATATTTAAAATTACAGTATCATTAGTAGCTTTGATTTGTGTATAGAGTTAGTTTTCTGTTGTAATTCTTGTCAACAACATATTTTGTGATCACAAAAAGACAGTCTTCCAGTTTCCAGATACCATTATGAATATTTAAGCTCTGTGTTTAGAATATTTATTCATTTTAAAGATGTTTGTTTGCTTAAAAGTTAGTTTTGCTAAAAAGTTAGGAATATTTTTGAATTATATAGAAAGAACATTTAGCAGGCAAAATATCAAAATTAATGATGAAAAATAACAAGATTGATTTAATCAAATAGTAAAAAATAAAACATGAAGCAAAATATTAAACTCACAAGGAAAATATAAAGATGAAGTTTATTACTACTTTTATTAATAATTTTATTATTGTTATTGCTTATTTCAAATTATGTAATTTTGTTTTGAAAATATTATAAAACAATAAAAATTTGCCTTTAAAATATCTTGTCTATCTAATCTTCGTGTAATTAAAAGTCCAAGCAACCATAATAAAATTATTGTTGCAACTGCTACAAGTAATACATATCCATGTTTTAATTTTGATATAGAAAGTGCAGGTAAACGATTAGGAGCAACAAAAAAACCACCAAAAGTTGTCAAATGATTGCATCTACATTTGGTCATCAAAAAACTTGTGTGATGAACATCAACCTAAAGTAATTTATAATATTTTGGTTTTTCAAAATTTGATTTGAAACTTTACTCAACAAAACTTACTTTTTTCAACAGAAAAAGTTTTTATTATTATTTACAATTTTGTCTACGTTTTTTTGATTATATATATTTTTTTTAAATTTAAATTAAAACTTAACATGCCTGACATCCATCTGACATCCATCTATTTGCATCTTCATTCCAGTAATTACATTCAACACAAAATGATTTCATTTCATAATCAAATTTTCCAGAAGACTCTGTTTCATCAAAATTATATGGATTCTTTACTAACCTTTTGGCTGGCATTGGGCCAGAATACAAAAACATTAAATAAAGTTCACTTTTGTTTAAAAATGAATATGTTGAATTGTCAAAATTCCATAATATTATTGCATTATCAGCAAGAAGCAAAACATCTTGATTTCTTTGGGAAATTCTAGTTAAGTCTTTATTCATCTTATTGTTAAAATTAAATATGGCAGAACTGTTTACATTATTATTTTTGGTCATGATAACACCCTGTTTGACAGATATATTAAGCTTAATGTCATAATCAAGTTTTGTTGGATTTTTTCCATATTGAATATAAACAATAAGATTTGTTAAATTTTTTTCATCATTTTTAAAAATAAACTGCAGAAGCATCTTACAGCTTAATGCTACTGACAGTGTAACATGGTAAACATCATTAGGCATTGATAAAGATATATTTTCTCCATTCATTTTTTCAGGTTTATTTTTTATTGTCATGTTTATTAATTGTGAGCAGTTACTCACTTTTATTGGAAGACCATTCGAGTCAGAAAAATAAAGACTTTGAGTTTCTGTGCGAATGTCTTGAGATCGAAAAGTATCCCATGTGTAAACAACATCTTTAATTCTGACATTCTAAATATATAAAAAATTCGTTTAAAATCTAAATTTAAATAAAGATATTGTACAAATATAAATAAAGGTTGCGTGAATGCGTAAATGAGAAACACACAACACACATGTATGTATGTATATATATATATATATACATATATACATATATATATATATATATATATATATATATATATATATATATATATATATATATATATATATATATATATATATATATATATATATATATATATATATATATATATATATATATATATATATATATATATACAGCAGCATGCAAAAGTAACCGGGCAAGTGCATAACTTGAGATAACTTTTGAATGTAGTCCAAATTTTCACTGGAATATCAAAAAATTGATAACAATTCTAAAAACAAATGAATTTTTACTAAATCTAAGCAATGTAATCTTAAAAGTTTATTTTATTGAAATATGCGCCTGCAAAAGTATCCGGGCAGAACTAAAATAATAAAATTGCAATTCTTTTGCTGGCTTTTATTTAATGTTTAAAAATGGTAAACAAAGCATAAAGTATTTTTAATTAAAAGGAAGATTGTTTTGAATAAATTTTAAAAATGACAAAGCGAAAATATACAAGTTTAGCTGTCAAAGAAGCGATATTGTGTGCAATTGAACAAGGCAGCACTACAAGAGACATAGCGGATCAGTTTGATATAGGAAAACCAACAGTAGCAGATATATACAAAAGATATAAGGAAAGAAATAACAATAGAATCTCTCCAAAGTCAGGAAGGCCTCGAGTTACATCTGAAAGACAAAATAAAATTTTAGTTTGTTCCACAAAAAATGATGCACGCAAAAATACTGTCTTGTTAAATTTTATAATGTAAAATGTAGTGTTGACAAAGCATCGTTTAAGGTCTGCAAATCTATTTGAAAGACTTCCTATGAAGAAACCTTTTATTTCCATGAAGAATCAAAAAGCACGCTTGAGATTTGCTAAGGAACATTTGAATTGGTCAAGAGAACAATGGTCGAAAGTATTTTTTAGTAATGAATCTAAGTTTATGTTATTTGGATCTGATGGTATTAGATATGTTCGTCGACCAAAAGGCCATAAAAACGATCCTCAAGACCAGCTACCAACAGTAAAGCAAGGGGGTGGAAATGTTATGGTCTGGGGTTGCTTCAATAGAGATTGTGTCGGTCCTATCCATTTGACTGATGGCAAAATGGACAAAAGTATGTACAAAGATATTATTAAAGATGTTATGCTACCACATGCTAAAGACAAAATGCTTTGAGGATGGATATTTTACCCAAAGCACACTTCAACCCTTGTGAACTTTTTCAAGATCAAAAAAATTTGATTAATGGATTGGCCTTCACAAAGACCTGACCTTAATGCTATTGAACATCTATGGGAACAGCTTGATCTGCACTTTTCAGGTCGTAAACCAACAAATAAACTTGATTTGTTTAAAAATCTGAAACAAGCTTGAGAAAAAATTGACAATATGGTGATTGTGATGCTGATGGACTCAATGCCTTGTCGCTGTCAAGAAGTAATCAATGCCAAGGGTTTCCCGATGAAGTATTAAAGAAACTTACTTTAAATTACAACATTTTAGTTTAAAAAACGTTTAAAAACAAAAGCTACTTTAAGTATTATTTATTGCCCGGATACTTTTGCACGCACATATTTCAATAAAATGAACTTTTAAGATTATATTAATTAGATTAAAGGGATCCCAAACTCCCAACACATGTTGTGTTCATATTAAAGATAATGTTAAAAAAAAAGGTTTGAACCAAGTTTTTTTGATTAAAAATAAATAATGAATGCATACCGTGAAAAACAAATATTGTTGTTTTTGCCGAAGCTCGCCTTCTCCATTTTTTCAATAATTCGGAGTCTTCAAATTATGCGTCGCAATCTACAGACTTAGGCAATTCCTTTAATTCATAAATGTTTTAGTATTTGACGTCACGGTAGACTTTTAACAAAAGAAAAGTGTAATTAAACTAAGCTCTAGTATTTTTTTAATATACAGCAAAACAAATTTATTTTTATTATTTTTCTAAACATCGCAAAAAAAAAATTAGTAAAAAGAAAATATGATAAATTATTTTTATTTTATAGGAGCAACTTGTTTTTTACAGATATCTTAATAATTTTTCGATTTATATATCTTACTTATATTTCTTTTGTTTTTAAATTAAAACAAATATTAAAGCTTTACTTACGAATCTTATGATTTTCATACGAGTGTTTTACATTATATAGAACGTTATGTATACGGTCTCTCGTTTTTGTGCAAAAGAGCGTAGTATTATATATTCTGAATCTTACTTATTTTTATTTAAACAAACGGAACTTTTTTCTAACTTCTCTGGTTATTTTTACGCTATGATATTTTTTCTTTTCCCGTCGAAAAAAAGTATTAATTAATTTCATAAACTGACAGTATTAATTAGAGATATATGATGAATTGTTAATTTTTTTTATTATAAAATTTTTTTGATTACGCTGATTTATTTTAAATTGCTAAATTTGCTAAATTGGATACGGATAAAACTATTAAACTTTTATTTCTCTCATCTAAAAAAAGAACGAGTGACGCAAAAATAAAAAAAATAAAAAAATTCTATACAACTCTTTTATTCATTCGAAGTTTAATTCTCATAAAAAGAGCGAGCGATGAAAAAAAAACTTTTCTTTCTTAACATAAATTTACACTGCAACAAAGAACAAAGCAACTAACAGATTTATCTGGGACTATTTTGATATTAATGAAAATAATCAACATAAACAACATTACCAACAGCAATTATCAAATAAACAACACAATATCGCATAATTTTAGGGGCTTTTTATTTTTATTGCTTAGTCGTTCTAAATAATAAGTAAATTTAGATCAAGTTAATATTTCAATATTTACAGTTGCAATATAATGTAGAAATGATGTTTAATGTTGAACTTTTTGTTTAATTATTTATTTTTTGCCTACATTTATTATAAAAAACTTTTAAACCCCCGTCATTAAAATAATTTGTTTTGAATATAATTCAATATAATTGAATATATTGAATATAATTCAAACTAATTTTTTTCGCTTGACTTCCCGAACTTCATGCAAAGCAAATTGAGATGAAATATTATCTAACCAAATAATAATGCTTTTACTAATTTTATACGGGTAATTAATGTTAAACATTTTTTTATCGGAGTCTTAATTGAGATAATAAATATTCATAATTTATAAACATTAAATATATAGCGCAATAACAATTTATAGCAACGAACCAGCATAAAATATTTAAGGTTTTTAATATCTTTTTAAATATTAAAAGTAGAAAAAAAAAAAAAACTAAATAAATAACCAAAAAAACTTCGACTAAAAATAAATAAAAATATTTCCAGAGTTTCTTTTGTTAAAAGTCTACCGTGACGTCAAATACTAAAACATTTTTGGATTAAACGCGCTTCAAAGGAATTGCCAAAGTCTGTAGATTGCGACGCATAATTTGAAGACTCCAATTTATTGAAAAAAATGGAGAAGGCGAGCTTGGGCAAAAACAACAACATTTGTTTTTCACGGTATGCATTCATTATTTATTTTTAATCAAAAAAACTTAGTTCAAACCTTTTTTTTTAACATTATCTTTAATATGAACACAGCATGTGTCGGGAGTTTGGGATCCCTTTAAGTAAAAATTTATTTGTTTGTAGAATTGTCAATTTTTTTGACATTGCAGTAAAAATTTGAAAAAAATTGGACTTTTCATTCAAAAGTATGTATATAACCACAAAATCTGCAAATAAAAGATGTATATTTTAGCTAAACAACTTACATGAATTGAAATTTGTGAATTTTGTACAGATTCATTGAATAAATACTTAGATTCAGGTAAAGTAAAACCACCTTCAGATGAACCAATGATTCTGCTTGTTAAGTCAATAAAAACATCTTTTATTAACTCAAAATTAAACTGTTTTGTTTCACCCACTGTTTTATTTTCACCTGCAACTTTGTATGACTGTGCAGCTATGAAATAATTTTTCATAGATTTCATTAATGTCGACACTATTTGTTCATCTTGCTAAATTTATTAAAACATATATTTTTAAAGATAAGAGATAACAAATATTTATACATAATTATCATTTGATTAAAAAAAATATTAATTTTACAAATACTTTTGTTGTCAATTAGATTGATTTACAATATTTAACGTAATACTTTAAATTATCTTTTTTTCATAAAAATTGAACCCAAGCTGGTTATAAAAAAAAAAAAAAAAAATTAAGTTAAAAAATTACAAAATTAAATAAACATTTATGAAAATTAAACATACAATGTAATTTTTGAAGATAATTCTAGTCACCAAATTTTGGTGTTTAATGCTTATAATATTTTTTTCATAAAATGAACACAAAATACAAAAAGCAAATAACAAAAAAAACAAACATCTACTTGTAAATTATTTAATGATGGTGTTGGAACAGTATGTTGCAATAAGTTTGAGATTGAATTTACAAATGACTGGGACATTGTATCAAATTTTTCTGCTCCAAGACCTTTTAGATTTTTTTTGGTAAGTAATCTAGCTAGTTTATCTACTATAGATGCTGCTTGGCTCTAAAAAATAATTATATTTGAAATAATTTCAATAGTTTTTGTGAAATATTTTATAACATGCTGATTTAAAAAATTTGAACCAGCATGTCTCAATATACAGTTTACATTTTATATACAATCAACTTTTACCTTTTATTTCAAAATACCAATAGAAATGTATATATAAAAAATAGAAATGTTTATATATAAATATATATATAAAAAATAGAAAATATTTTTTAACATAAAATTATAATGATTTAAATAAGTTGTCAATGTTTTTATGAAATGTTTTTAATATTTTATAAAGATTTCATAAAGATTTTATGAATTGTTTTTAATATTTTATTTATAAATTAGATTTGTTTCTTGTTTTAAATACTTTAATTTAAAAACAGATATAAAGAAATACTGAGCAAAGATTTACGATTTTAATAAAGACCTAACAAATAAAATAAAAAAAGGAGAAGTTAATTCTTCTCTAAACTACTTCACCTAAATTTATGGTTCAAATTATTGAAAAAAACCAAATAATTTTAGTCAATTAAGAAAAATCATATTAACAAAATACCTGAGCATGGGGAGCAATTTCTAATGGATTTTGTGATGTAACAACTAATGCATCACTTATTGATTTAAAAGACTTCAAATCACTAAACTGCGTATTGCTCATTAAATTAAGTAATTGTGTCCGTAACTAAAAAACATAAACACCTTTATAAAAAAGATATATAGATATGAAGAGTTTATTTTCAAAACGCGGTAAACGCCATTTTAAAAATTTTTTAGAAATTGTGTGGTTTATTTTTAGTTTATAAGGACCTAGCAGACATTGTGTCCGAATATATGCTAAACGAAGTATAACCCAATATTTTTTTACTTCTAAAAAACATTTATTTTCAAAACGCGGTATAAAATTTTTTATTTATTTTCAAAATGCGGTATTTAATTTTGACCAATCTGTGGCAAATGTATATTACTTCTGCGCAAGCGCAAATATTTTAAAGAAATGGCGGATTGCGATGGACAAGATTAATGCGTTACCTAATATCCTATTTCACATAGAAAAAAAGATATGATGTATGAAACAAAAGAAAAAAAAAGCATTTCTTAATTCTAGTGTTCGTTTAAACTACCATGCTTTGTTTGTTTAACTGAACGAATTATGGAATAATGATAGAAAATATATTAAAAAGGCAACTTAAATTAATAAGTTTAAATATATTTGTTACCTGTTTTTTAATGGAAAGCATTCAATAATAATACTTCTTTTTATTTTTTGTTAAACCGACAACTGCTTTGTTGCAAATAAAATGAGGCTATTGCAGTATTTCATTTTTAAAATTTTATTTCGTTCAAAAATATTACTTTTATGTTATATTAATTGTCCATTAGTTCTATGGAGACTTAAAAATTGTTACAACTACACAACACTAAAAAAATATTATTGTTTATTGTCCATATTTAACTCTCCGAAACAAATATAAATTTACAATTGCGAATTGTGAAATGTAATAGTTTATATTACTTTAATAAAACATTGTTTACATTCACATTATCAATAAAATATAATGACCAAACATTAAATACACATATTTGTTCAATATGTTACCTAAAATTAATCATTAAAACTTATTCAGGTCTTTTAAAGTTTAAAAACTTTCCATAACATCTTTATAAAATGGATATACCGCATTTTGCTAATAAGCTTTAATTATATATACAGTATTTTGAAAATAAATGCCAACTTATTGACAAAAAAAAAAAAAAAAATTTATTCAATAATATTTTATTTATTAATATTATATAATATACTTTATGTATATATATATATATTAAGAAACAATAATTTTTCCAAATATACGAGACATGTTGGTGTGGCGAAAAAAGTCAATTATCTCAATACCACAAAAATGGATATACCGCATTTTGAAAATACACTCTTCATATAAAGATATACTTACATTATATAAAAAAAGCAAAAAACTGACAAAAAGTAAGAATAAATCTATTAAATAAAATCTCCTTAATTTCCTTAATGCATATTTTTTATTCTATCTTCAGTCAAACAAACTATAATTGACTGTTTATACTTTATAAATAGTATTTTTTGGATAAAGTGTTAAACTGTAAATGTAACTATCAAATAAAAGCAATATATATAAACTCCTACTTCTTGTAAATTAAACAACTCTTGCTGCTTTAGTAGTTTCAAAGAATCTTCATCAACAATATCAAATAATTCATTAGCAGATGACAAAGTGATGTTATATTGACTTGCAACATTTTTGTTTATATTAATGCTAACTGCTTGTACAAGATTAGCAATACTTTGCGTATCAGTTAGAGTGATATCAGCTATCAAGCTTTCTAATTTTATGGGTTCATTACTTGGGTACACCTAATATATATATATATATATATATATATATATATATATATATATATATATATATATATATATATATATATATATATATATATATATATGTGTGTGTGTGTATATATATATATATATATATATATATATATATATATAAATATATGTGTATATATATATATATATATATGTATATATATATATATGCATATATGTATATATATTTATATATATTTATATTTATACTTATATATATATATATACATATATATATATATATATATATACATATTATATATATATATATATATATATATATATATATATATATATATATATATATATATATATATATATATATATATATATATATATATATATATACATACATATATATGTATATATATATATAAATTTTTTTTTGTCACTCTGATTATTACCCTGTTTTCCCATAAGTTTTTAAAAGTTTATAATTGTCTACCTTAATATATAGATCGTTTTCTGTGTAAGCTTGGTATTTGCCAATCACTTTTATAAGAATTCTGATTTTGTATTCATTGTTCTCATCACCTGGACCCATTACAAAGTTTATTAAACTTGGTTGGTCAGTAGTACCTGCATTTAACATAGGATAATTTATTGAAGTTGTACTACTAAGTTTCATTTGTTCTGATTTACCATTATCATAATAAAAAGCATAGCTTAGCAACCCATCATAATCTTTCCATCCATTACAAAAAAGTATAAATTTTGTTTTTAAGGCATATCCTTCAATTGGTCTGTTAAAAAGAATAAAGTTATATTTATACATTTTTTAATATAGATCTTTATTCAAATATAAATAAATGCTTATTTAAATACCAAACATAAACAATAATAACTAAATTTCAATACTTAAACTTTTAAGTTCTAATAACTTTTAAATAATTAACATGATAAAAAATAACTGTAACTCAAACGAAATCTGTCTAAAAATAATACATACTTAATAATGCAATATCCTGGAGTAGGCTGAGAACAAGTTGACTTTTTGAATTTAAACTTAGCTTTTTTGACAGAGTTTACATAACCAACCATCAAAGTAAACGTGTAGTTTTTTGATTCAAGAAGAATATCTTTATTAATTACAAGACTAGGAATTAAAAACCCTGTAGAAGTAGCATTTTGAACAGAAAGTTCAGATGGAAAATTTCCTGTTTCATCTTCTATAGTCCAATTAGCTTCCAATCTGAAAAATTTTTTTTTAAGGATTCACAATTATAACTATTTTGGTTTCAATTTTTTTGCTTACCTTGACATGAGTTTTGTCTTCATGAAAATCAAATGATTTATTAATACACATATCATTTATTCTATTATCATTAGTCATTGTTAAAAATATATTATAATTTTTGAATATATATATCATTTGTTTTAACATTATCTGTCTATAAATATGTTTAGAAACATATTTTTAAAGTGCTGAGTCTTTTTTAGTCTTTAAAAGTTGTAGCTTGAACAACAAAAGGGTATTTACTTATACTGACTAGAAAAAGATTTTTAACTCACTGACTAGAAAAAGTTTTTAGTCAACTTAAAAAGAAAAGATAATTTTTGATTGACCTTCTGTTTGCTATTAATTTAATTTTTTTTCTGTTAAAGGGTGTTATAAAAATTATGTTGCTAAAAATAAACATTTATTTTTATAAAATTTTGAAAACTTGAGCAAGTCCCCCTGTTGCTGCAGCCAACAATGGTACCCCAGTTGCAGCAGTTGGTACTACTACAATAGTTGCAGCAGTTGGTAATAGAAACTATTTACACCAAGTTGATTATATTCGTGACTATTGTATATAAATTCTAATTTTTTAAAAATAGATTGTTTAGTAGGCATAGCAGTCAATTAATTTTACACAAATGATAAATGTTTAATAAATTTAATAAATTTTTTAAATTATTTTAAATTAACTTAGTGTATTGAATACACGATTGGAAACTTTTTTAGTATACTTTTTTATATTTAATATACCATAGTTTATACAACATATCACTTTTTTCAAATGTTTTTAATAGAAAATAAACAAAATGTATAATAGCAAAAAAAAATAACTTAATTAAAAACTGCAATAAAAATATAGCTTAAAAAGGTTATCTCATTTACAATAGCATACATCTACATACATGTCAAACATTTACATGCATATCAAGTTATTACATTTACTGTAGCATACATCTATAAATTGATAAATAAAGCACAAATTGAAACTTGCATAGTATTTATTGATACATATACATTATAAATTAATATCCATACACTATGCATTACATTTCATGGTAAATATATAAGATTGCATACCTTCGATAGCCACAATCTTCACAGTCGAATGAATATATAATGCGTTCTTTAAAATTCAGTTTAGTATCACAGTTAGATATGCACCTAAATGTTTAACAATGAATTTCTATTAGCTTAACTCTAATAATAATTTTAGTTAAGTTTAAAATCTTTGCTATATGACAAAAAAAAAGAAAAAAAAAAAGAAAAGAAAAAAAATATCTTAAATGTTTTACAAAAAACATGTTTTACAACCAAACTAAATTCCTGTGAACTATTACATTAGTGTATTAAATTAATTTATTAAAATAATAATTTCCTTGCACTATTGATATTTCTTTTTATTAGTTTCAGAAGTTGACAAGAGTCCAAATTTATTATATCGAATATCAGTTTGTGGTGTTGGTACTAGAATTTTACTTGTGCTTTAATCAAATCAGAATCAGTTAAATTTTTTTTAACCCCTTGATAAGGTAATCGTATACATTTCTTTTTTTTATTATACCATTGTTTGACCGGATGTGTTGGCTGAACAATATATTTTGAATATAATGTTCAGCTAACACATCTCGTCAAATAATAGTTAATAAAAACCTGAACAATATATTTTTTTAAGATCTTTCTAGAAAAAGAGTGAGCATTTTGCTTTTCAATAAGAACCAATAGTTACAGTTTCAATATGCCTTTTTAATTCTAGAAAGAAAGAGTATCGAACCAATTGTCAAAACATAAACTGTGTTAAGTGTAATCACACTATCTTTATTATATATTGAAATTTATTGATACCATATTCATGTGTCGTATATAACTAATATTTTTAGAGTTTGCCACAAGGCTATGTTTTATGTATACTCTTAAAAATATTTTACAAACATTGTTATCTTAATTTATTTCTTTGATCATTACGGAATACATTAACAACTTAAAGTTCAAATTTTTGCATATTTATTTAACCCTGTTTTAAAATAGGGTAAAGTAAATCAACACACCTACACAAAAATCTCTGCAGAACAAACAAAGCTTTTTCAGATTATATAAGTGAACACCACTATGTCTTGTTTTTGCAGGTATTTTTGCTTACTGATAGAACATATTTGTCCTCGCCCTATTATATAGCATTTATCACAAACAATTTCCAATTTTTCTCACTTAATTTTGAAAGGTCTTTGTTATTTGTTTCTTTTTTTGTCAATTACATAAAGACGTTTTAATGTGTAGTTTAATGTGGAGTTTTTTTCTAAGAATTTCTGAATGGGTTTGCTGTGAAATTGAATCTAATGTGAAGTTTTTCTCTAAAAAATTCTGAATTGGTTTGCTGTGATTAAGAAAATCACAAACAAACTTAACTGACTCAAAATTCATTTCATTATGTTTCTAAATTACAAGTATTTTCTTTTAACTTGCAATCCATGCTAGATTGAAATCTATTTTCATTTTCATTCAGGATTGAGAGAGTTATTAAATTGTGCTCATGTTTTTGGAGAACCATGTCTTTTAATCTGCTGGTGTGAGATAAAATATATATATCTACTATAGAGGATATAAATATACATCTGCCGACAAGTAATTCTGAATTGCTTCTTTAGAATCTAAATAAAGTTCATATTCAACATTTATGTTTTTGTCATGTGTCATATTGCGACATATTGTTAATTAGGTAAAAACCATAATTTTCAACAATTGATTAAAGAAATTTATTTTAATCACATGATTTTTCTTTTCTTTTTAATTGTTTATAATTTGCTACGATTTACTTTTTACTTTTTGCTTGATACTTTTTTCTTTTAATTGTTAATGATTTGTCATAATTTACTTTTCTTTTTAATTGGTTGAAATATTTTTAAAATGTTTTTAATTGATTTATATACATGAACTTTGGCCAAAATAAAATTGGAAAAAATTTATTGCAAACATTTTATTTATGTTAATAACAACTTTATTAATAAAAAAAAGTTATTTTATAAATAAAATAATAAACAAAAAAAAAATTTTTTATCTAGTATAAAAGTTATAGTGATAAAAATAGTTGTCCACTAACCAGTTTTAACAACAGGTATAAAAGGTATATCTAGTTATAAAAGTTGTGGACCATTAACCAGTTTTAACAGGTTATAATAATTATAGAATAAAGAATTTAACAAAGTTTTTTTGCCTAATAAGTGAAAATTTATTTTTGATTTGTTATGTAAAAAAAAAAAAAAATTGTTTGACATTTGTTTGACTTTTACTCAATATCATTCTTGATCTGCAATTTTAAAATTTAGCCTCTGTGTTAAATAAAGAAACTTAATTTTTACATGTTTAGATGATTATATTTGATATTTTCACAAAATAATATTTTTTTAAATAAAAAGAAAAAAAAATTAAACAAAAAAATTAGCAAAAAACATACTTAATTGTAACAGATGGAACACTTCCAGAAATAAGAACTTCTTGAATGAAACAACTTGTCTTGTAACACTCATTTAAATATACATCTCTTCCTGCATACTTTGTTCCACAAACTTCAATATAATAACTAATTTCTTCTAAAAACTGTTGTGTACTAAAAACAATTTCTGAAAAAGTTGAAGGAATATCTGTCCAGGACTCATTGAAACAAGTGTCACTTGAGAACGTCATATTCAAAACTGTCAAGTTCTCCATAGCAACTTTAGCATCAGTAAAATTTGTAGCAACTTTGCACCTCCATCGAAAAGTTATATTTTGAATACCAACTGTTGGATCATCTGGATCATAACTAAACATAGCACTCACTTTAAAGTTTTGAAAATAACTTTCATTTCTAACTTTCTTTTTATATGCAACAGATGTAAATAAACCATTATCAATTTCCATATAGAGAGGTGAATATATAACATTTAAGTATGAAGTATAAATAGCTGAAGCATCACCAAAATTACATTGCAATGACAATATGTAAATACCAAAATCAAGTGAATTTTTTAAAATTGAGTAGTTAACTTTTTGCTGAAAAAGTACACCTTTTTGTTTAGGTCCTATAGGCTTTGAGTCAGAACTAGAGAGACTCCATTCAAAAGTTAAAGATATATTTTTACAAAATGAACCAACACTTTCAACAAAAGCTGTTAAATCTCTTCCAACACTTCTTATAATGGTCATTGGATTGTAAATAGTCCCATAATAAAAACTTACATCGGGAACAAAACAGTTTGTTACGTTAATAGGAAAAAAAAGTGGACTGAGAGTCTGCAAACCATTCCAGCATGTAACAGATATAGTATAACTGTTAATAGTTTTATACATATGCTGCACTTGAAATGAAACAGGACTTGAGTTTAAAGTCTGATTATTAACAGTAGAATTTCCATCTCCCCAATCAATTAAATATATCATATTTGATCCAGTCTCTTGAAAGATGTCTAATGTTATACTTTTGTTTAAAAATAATTGAACATATCCGCCAAGGAACATTGGTGGTGTTGTAATGACATTTAAAAGAGATAGGTTGCAAAACACTCTTACATTTGTGGAATTAGCGAATAGCGGAGTAGTGGTATTTGCATCATTATCAAATATGTTTGCAGTGATTGTATATAGTTGACACCTAGAATACCTAAAAAATATGTTTTAAACCAAATTATACGTTCAAAAAGAAATTAAGGCATCAAAATAACATTAGTAGAAGATTTTTTTTAAATAAAGATTTTTTTGAAAACTATGAATTTAATGAAAATAAGTTTTCGAACTTATAATAACGCTTTTCTTCTTATCTTTTTATTTTTGCAATAGCTTCACTTTTACTAAACAAAGTCAAAACTTGTTAAAAAAAAATTATATAAAAATGTAAAAGTACTATTATATGATGTTTTAAATACTCATAACTTCTTTAAACTTTGAGTTGAAATATCTTAACCATTTAAGCTAAACAAACTTCTAGATTGGTTTAAAAGGAATGCGTAAAATTTTCAAAAAAAAATTATTTTAAAAAATAACATGAATAATATTGTACAATATTTATTTAAAAAAATAAATATTGTACAATAATTGATTAACAATAAATTGCAAGAGAGTATATGTAAATTCTCTTGTACAATTTTGTACCACAATAATTGGTTATTTTAAAAATTGAGCTGGAAGATTTTGTAATTAAGCAAGGAATATGAAGTACCTTATGTTAACGGATAAATTTTCAAATGACCTTTGTGAAGATTTTTGACTCTTGATGCTTTCTTAAAACTTGGTTAGATATGAATCTGAAAGACTGCAAAGCAAAGTCTGTTTCCATAATCTTGAGGTGGAAAACTATTTTATAGAGTATAAACAATTCCAATTTAATCATAAAAATTCAGCTGGTAGAAATACTTGCTTTACCAACTGTACCAGGAACTAATGCAGAATGTAAATCTTTGTTTAGCTTTACAACCTAAACGAACCTTAACGTTTATTTAGCTTAATACTGGACTGAATACAAAAGCCAATTGAAAATTTTGACACTTGAGAGCGTAATGAAAGTTAGGGTTAACATCGATCTTTCATGCAATTATTTTTATGAAAAAAAATTAAAGTAAACAAAAATTTGAAATATAAAGCAAAGTATTCTGATAAATATGGCTAAACTAGTTTCATTTAAAAAAATATTGTACTTAAAGATTATATTTGGTATGCAAGTTTTACTTGCATTTTTTAAACTTTTTTGATATGTTTCCATTAATAGGTAAAGGATTAGGATTAGGGTTAGGATTTTGACCGAAATTATCTCCGCAAACACAAGACGTGTTTATTATGTATAAAAAATCAGATTATGTATATTTTTTTAAAAGCCTTAAATTCGTCTTGTAATTATTGTTTCGTTAGTTCGCTAACACAGCAGCCAGTTTAAATTCTGGAGCATGCCCATAAAATCATACCATTTGAGTTAATGCGATATGTGCTGAATTTTCTTAAGCTCTTACAATCTACTCTCTTAGGCTCTTACAATTTAAGGCTCTAAACGTCTCGCTGCTCTTCTCTGATGCGCTTTTGGATATTTGGAATCTTGTATTTTATGTTGAGCTATTTGAGTGATCTTAAAATATATGAGAAGTAATAATTAAATTGCAGTTTTAATCTAGAGATAACACATGCCCCACAGTATTAGTCTCTTTATGGAGCCCACGGGCTGATCAAGCTCTTTATGGAGCACATGATTAGGAAGATATTGGAAGATTAAACATCAAAGTGTTTTTTCTATTTTTATTAAATATATTGCGATTGTTGATTATTTGTTTGTGATTTACTTAAGATTTTCTTATTACATTTTGAGAATTTTTTAATTTAGTATTCTTTTAATTGTCCTTACAACTAAAAGAAGAGTTAGAACAATGAACATTAATTCAATAAAAAAATTATTTGGTCAAGCTAACGATTTAATGCAAGGCGACAGTCAAAATGAAAATTAATCTGAGCTTATCAATTTAAGAGATACTGCAAATAATAGATTCGATGAATTAAGACTTTAGATGATGAAACTTCAGTTTTAATTAAAGACGAAGACGAGGTACAAACTAACCATAATTTAGCTATTGATTTTACACTAAGTTTAAAACATGAAATTTCTAAGATTACCAATTATTTAAGTTAACTTTTTTCTAATGAGGTCTAATGATGACGCTAAGTTTATAACTACCTATAAAGTTTATGTAACAATTAAACTTCCTGTATGAAAGATTGAGGCATTTGATGGAAAATGGGAAAATTGGCAACTATTTTGGAAAAATTTTGATTGCGCAAATAACAAGAATAAAGATTTAAGTAACATTCAATAATCAACTGGTCTAAGAAACTTGGTGCATGGACAAGCTTATTCTGCAATTAATTGCCTGTCAAATGAAAATTATATTACAGCATTAGACATTCTAAAACAACGATTTTCAAATAAACAACTAACGATTTCTTTTTATTTGCAAAAACTTATAAAGCTTGAACACGTTAACAATATTAAAGATATCAAATAGTTAGGAAACCTTTTAGATAATGTTCAAATACAAAGTAGTCTAGAAAATATTAGTATTGATTCTTCAATATATGACTCTTTACTTGTACCAATATTACTATAAAAATTTCCAGAAGAACTCAATTTAAAAATAAGTCGTAAACTTAACCAAGATGTGAATTAAGAGCACGTGAGCACTTTAATTCTTCTGACTCAATTACTTTACCCTTTACCCTGCTAGTACGTTTTATTCCAGTGAAAACTCAAATAAACATTATAAGAAAATTATTAATTATGCGTGAGATAATTCTTATTTATCTTTGTGTGTATTTTGTAACAATGATCATAAATTGCATCAGTGCAAAATTGTAACAAACATTGCTGCTAAAAAAAAATTTCAAATTAATAAAAAATGTTGTTTCTGTTGTCTTCGTAATGGGTATTTATGATATGCTACATGTGAACTTTTATTTGATAATTGTTCGCAATTAAGCTACATCGTTTGTGAAACATGTGCTAAACTTAATCTAAAACATATTGGAAGTAAAGAAATTAGTATTAAAACTTTTGAACACAGTAGCATTTCTGAGATCTGAGATTAAGTAAAGATTTCTATAAAAAGTTTCTACGATTATTTTATTAATGTTGAATAGTAATAGTAATATAGATGCTGTAGCGAATTAAATCGCGAAACACATTTTTTTTTTTGTTATTTAGGTGCCCCAAGAAGACCTAACATTCTTGTATCACAGAGCACCGCGGAAGTGCATTTAATCAGAAAGTTCACACCTTCTTCCTTACCGTGACGTGAAAATATGTCCAGAGCTCGTTTCGAACCTGGACATATATGGCTAAATATGCGTAATGACAGCCTATGCAACCCTTTATTTTATTTATAATAATTTACACTTTGTTTAAAATCAAAGTTATAAATATAAAAAAATTAGAGTTAGATAAATTTCAAAAAAATGTATAACAAAAATCTATCGAGCCTTGCTTTAAAAGAGTTCAAAGACTGCGCATTCCCCACATGAATCGGTAATGCATTCCATTGATTTGCAATACGGCAACTAAAAATGCTTATCAAGACAAAGTTTCCTTCTAAAGCCATGTAACATGATCTATTAGCTCGCCGCGCAAACGCCTAGTCTCCAACGTAGTCGATTTCATTTTAGATAGTCGCTTCTCATAACACAGATATTTGAGATTCTGTATCAGTTTGGTTGCGCAACGTTGAAGCTTTTCTAGTGTTTCAATATCACCTTTAAAAGTAGGATTCTATACAGGGATTGCAAACTCAATGTGAGGTCTAACTAGCACTGTGTACAGAGTACGAATCATTTCTGTATTTAAATGGGTGAAGGTACGCTTGATGACTCTGAGTACATTCTGCGCTTTTGCTGCTGCTGCGTTAACTTGATAATATCATTTGATGTCTGATGAGATCAATAAATTGAGATCACGTTCTACTGTTATTTTGCCTAGTTTGTATTAACACTATTTTCTGTAATCGTATAGGGTTCTCTTTGCCAATGTGCATAACATTGCACTTCTCTTTGTTCTCCATAAACCATATACTTTTGCATTTAACTAATTTGTTGATATCGTTTTGCAAACTGATTGTATCCGAAATGTTTTCTATCGGTTTCATTAGGTTGCTGTCGTTAGCGTAAAGTTTGCATTACATACATTGTAGTGTTTCTGGTATGTCGTTGATGAATATCAAAAACAAAAGAGACCCAAGACCAGATCCCTGAGGAACACAACTGAGTATATTCAACCATGACGATCAAAATTCTCCCATTAAAACGTTTGCCCACGATAGGTTTAAAAAACACTTAAATAATAGCCTTTTGTTTGGTACCTTGTCAAAGACCTTGCTGAAATAAAGGTATATCATGTCGATTGGACACTTGCACTCCATGTATGTTGTCAAAAAATCAATTGTTTCCAGTTAGTTGGTTACAAAAGCCTTTTTCTTCACAAAACCATGCTGGTGTTGCAATAGATCGTCATGTTGTTGCAAATGGTCAGTGATTCCCACACAAATAAATCGTTTTTAAAATTTTGCGTGGAACTGACATTAAAGACACTGGTCTGTAGTTTAACGCAACATATGAGCTGAAGGGGTTAGTTTTGCTTCACTCCAACAATTTGGTATTGCGTCCAACTTAATTGTAAGGCTGAATTTCATTGCTAGAGGTTTTAAGAATGACGACGCACATTGTTTAAGTACATATGGATTCACAATATCACGTTCCATTGCTTAGTTTTTGTCCAAATGTTCTAGTTAATTCTTTACATTCTCTAAATTTAACGCACTCTTCCAGTCCCAGTCAATGTCGTCATTAATTACTTTATCTAATTTTGGAAGCGCTGTATCTCACTCAAAGACAAAAACAAATTGAAAACTTCCATTTAGACAAAGCAAGACGAAGAAGATTATTGCACCTGTATTGTCTCTAAAAGTTTGTAATTTATGTTTTAACTTTGTGTGTTTTTTCGCATACGAATAGAATATCCAAGGATTGGACTTTATCTAATCAAAAATTATTTTTTTGTACTCGCTCACTGATATCAACACGGCTGTTTTCATATTCTTTTTTGTCACTTTGTATCATTTAATAATTTGATATTTTTAT